GCTGCGAATGGATCTGGCCCTTCCTACATCCAGGACATGGTTAAACCGTACACCCCAGCGCGTGCACTACGCTCTGCATCAGCCAAACGACTCGTTGCGCCCTCGCTGCGAGGGGGACCCAAGTTCCCATCGGCGAAAACACGTGGGTTTGCTGTCCTGGCTCCAAGATGGTGGAATGAGCTCCCCATTGACATCAGGACGGCAGATAGCTTGCACATCTTCCGGCGCAAACTGAAAACTCATCTCTTTCGACTCCACTTCGAGCGTTAGAACTATTAACGAAGCACTTTTATACTAATAAAGGACTGGCTTACCTAAAGCCAGTTGAGTAGCACTTGAAATGTTTGGCTCTATGAAACCTGATGTACTTATATGATTCTGTTTTCTTCGAGGTTGTGTCTTCCTGGTCGAATGTACTTATTGTAAGTCGCTTTGGATAAAAGCGTCAGCTAAATGCAATGTAATGTAATGTAATATACCCACGTGACAGCTAAGGTCAGAAGAGCTTTATTTAACAGCTGGTCTTATGTCTGTGACCCCTCCTGTTGTTAATTGATAAGCCTGAAACATGCACTTGTATAGGTTCAGATGCACATTTAGCAAATATGGCAGAAGCCATCGATCATCTTAAGATAAGATAAGATACTTTATTGATCCCAAGTTGGGAAATGTTTTTGTTACAGCAGCATGTACTACTTTGTTCTACTCCACTACAATTCAGAGGTTAACCTGGTATTTTTACTCTACTACATTTATTTTTGTTACTTTGCAGATTCTGATTAATGATGTGAAATATAAACAACCCTTAAATCAGACTTTAGTTACACCTGAGTAAAATTCAGCCTTATCAGTTTGTCTGTTTTGCACATCCACCTGTTAATATCTTTGGACGTCCTGCACTAAACTGTTTTATTGTAGAGATCACTACAGTATCTTCTTGATATTTTCTATTCTATATTTCTATCATTGACCCCTATTTTGTATGTACGCTACTCTTGATATTTAAATGTTTTCATCAAATATAACTTATTCAACAACTAAATTCAATAACGTGCTTTAACCACTAGGAGGTACGGTTTAGACCAGTGGTCTAGTTAATAAAACATAATAATATCAAACATAATATGACTATTCACTTTATTGTGAAATTAAAACAGAACGGTAAAGGAAAATACAGTTTCAGTCTCTCGATGTGAAGCTTATGCATTGTACCATGAACTTTTATAGACCTGTAACAGTCGGAAAGGAGTTGGAAAGGTAGTTCAGTAAATCAGTAATATCTTTAAAAACTACAACAAAGCCCCTTTCTATCAGCTGTGCACCGTTATGGTGTAAATACAGACTATCTACTAATTGGATCAAATATAAAAGTCAGCCGAATTAGTGTTGATACTGCAAGGAGACGTATTGTGTGAAAAGAAATGGAAGATGTTGTTCAATTGTTGATATATTTATGGTTCACGTCACGTATTCAGTTTTGGCGGCATCTCTTCCAGTTTGTCCAGAAGTCTTCTGATCAGGGCTCTATAAATAAATATCTACGGCAGATATGTAATATGTAATGCAGCCAAACCGTGTATTACAATGCCGTTATGTGATGACTTCCAACGAGAAAAGCAAGAACACTCGGAATAAAGTATTATTTTATTTTTTTAAAATGTTTTCCGATTTCATATTGCAAAAACACCATATCCCGACGTGCATTGCGGCGTGATTTTAGCCTATCAAAACATCTGAAAAAAGAAATGTGTCTCTCAGAATCGAAAGAGAAAAACCTATGGGAAAAACACAAAAGCATTGTACACAATTTAAGCCAATTAATGTCGTATAATTAACAAGGATAAACTGATGTTTTTTTGTTGATGAGTACTGCAGATATCACTGTTAAATCATTTGATCATTGGTTTTATTATGAAAACGTCGAGACCGGAAATACTGTTTTCAACCCGTAACTTTACATGGAAGCTTGCCGCATATACACGGTTTCCTGACGAAACCTCAAATCATCTTCATAATATCTATCAAACTATAGATCCTACATATCGACTGGACGTGGATTCTAAAAGTACAATATATACTTCTCGCTAGAAATCGAATCAAATAGCGTTTTAATGGCCAAACTATCCTACAATTTAGGATTTTACAGAGAGGGTTATTTGTGAATAAACGACCCTCTGTAACATTTGCATTCAACGGGAGCACTAGAGGCCGAAAACTTTAAAACGTAATTATAGGTCGTATTAAGCGCTTGAACAAACATATTTGGTCGTAATAAGGGCTTGAACAATCGACCCATTTGGTCATATGAGTTGGAGGACTTGTTGTGTATTTGCCATATCTCTGGCCCCCCTCGGTTGATTTTGGTGATTGACACCTATTTTTAACCATTAGAGCCAAGAGAATTGAGGGGAAGTTCCTAAATCCATCTAAACATTACCATTGGTGAGGGATGCACAGCCAGCATTCCCAAAACCGGAAGCTGGGTTACAGCATATTTACAGCTCTCATATTTATGTATTTAAATATGATGATGGATTATCAGTAATCATTTAGTGACACAGAGACATTGGATTAGCCTTCAGCAGCGTTTATATGCGTTTTAATGCCCTTGAACACAACTTTTGATCAGAAAACAGCAAAGGTAAGACGTATTTGCCGTTTTGGCCTCGTAAAGCTAAGTTGTGTTGTCTGGTTTCGCTTTCGCTGCCACGTTTTGGTCGCACAGTGATGATACTTATACCATTGGAATCTGTGGAATCTCAGTTTTCATATGATATCTAGTTTGTGCAGATCCGATGAAGTATACCATATTTCTACCGTGAGTTAGGCTATGTGCTAAGTGCGTTAGCACTCTTTCGCTTAGTGCTAATTCAGAGGCTCGGTGTTAGACTTGTGTTTTGTTTCGGTAAAAATTGTTCATAAATGTTAAGAAGCCCTCAGACGCTGTTTCTTGCAGCCCCCGGGGGCTCCCGCAACATTGTGTGAAGCTTGCATAGAGGTTGCACATAGATTGATTTCAGTCTGTTGAAATTGATTAATTGCGTAGTTTCACCATAACAAAAATGTAATCTAAAAGCTTTTGATAAAATATGGCTTGATTCACGTTTTAGTCGTACAGAAAGACCTTCTTGTATATTTCTACACAATACAACACCAATTTGGGGTTCAATTTCCAAGGACACAACATGTGAACAGGAGCACCTGTTTTCCACTGTTATCAGCTCCATCTGAAACACCAGAGTGGGAATGAACTGATATGGGACATTTAATGGACTGATATAATTTGAAGTGGGTAGCTGAAAGCTGATGCAGGTAGAGCTGGTTGGCTTCTAATCACAAGGTTGGTGGTTTGATTCCCAGGTCCTCCATACAGTATTTATTTTTCAATTCATGTGTAGGCTAATGGTGAATCAGAAATAGGCCTACTTGTATAATAATAATTGGTTTTCTGAACCAAGATTGAAGATTTAAAGCTTTGAACATGATTTAAACACTGGAGATGAAGGAAACATAATAATAACAGTATACTTTTAATTACTTACGTATACTCGATCAGAGTTTTGTTTTTCAGATATGAATGTTTAGTCATATTTCTTTAAAGGTGGAGTAGGTAATTCACTTCAGAAACAATTTTTGTTATATTCCATGGAATGCTCTTAACATCCCGATAGCAATGAATGCATTAAATGCTTTGAAAAAATGCATCTGTGGAAGCCGTGGCGCTGTAAAAAGCACGACCAATCATCTGAGCCGGCCCGGCTAAAATAACTGGATGGCCTACCTGCCTGTCAGCCTTCCATCTCGTGCACAAACTTATCTCGTGCCCTCATTGGTCATGTGCGCGTTTGTGTGTGTTGGAGGAGGGGCTCTGTAAGGAAGTCTGAAGGAAGAGGCAGATGTTTTTCGGCTGCGTACTTTCAAATTCTAGCGCACTCGAGCTGGTTTCTCCATTCTTACCTACATAGTGTCACACGGTGGAGTGTCTGCTGTTTTTGCATGACTAGCCATGCACAAGAGCTGTCTGTTTCCTGTACAACGCTCTGTTACAAAACTGATAAAAAATGCTCTATAAATAAACTTTGAATGACTAGCCTGTATTATGCACACTTCCATATTTTATTTAATAACTTATGAAACATGTTTAGAAACATGACACTACAGGTTAACATTCACCCTTCTAAAATACTGGACAAGATATACAGCAATTACAGATGAGCAACTAAATTAAAGTAGTTGTGAAAGACTTGTCATCTAAGGCTGCTGTTTTTATTAACTGCTAAATATAAAGGCTTTGTAAACAAGTGTTATCACTTATAATTTCTGATTAAACGTTGCAGTTTCCTGAAAGTTCATTTACTTTAATCGTAAAAGTAAAAAAGAGTGTCGGGGAAGTAACTTTAAAACTGTGATCAATTACTCATTGCGTATTATTCTTTTGAAAAGTTATTTATTTATTTTAGCAAAACTAAGTAGTTTGGTAGTAGCTACCAGTGGATAAAGTGATAGCTAACCAATTACGAACATATACGGCAACTTTTAAGATGCAGTCAGACACATTTCAAATTTCAGAACGTGTATCAAGCAAAAATGCAAAGCTTGCTCTGGTTGCCGGTTGTTTTATCATTTTAAATGTAATATATTTGGGGTTTAGATTGTTAATAACTCCCATTAGTCACCACATTGTGTTCTTGAAATATGTGACAATCATCTCCTTTTATTTAAACATTTGATAAACAAATAACAATTTTCCTAACGTTCAAATAACTGGTTTGTTATGCTCAGCGAATATCCCCCTATAGATTTACAGATGTTTATCTTGATTGTGAATAGCAAAGCTCGAGGTCTGTTTACCATGCTCCAAAGCCCATGATGCCTTGCTACACCCCTGCTTATGTAAAGTCAGTGGCCACACTTGTTTGTAACTAAAGAAAGTTTCCAAAAAACATTTGTCTTGGCAGCTCTGCTTTGTGTGGCATTAATAAAGGGAACTCTCGGATGCATTCCTCCACCCTGCCTGGCCAAAAATTGCAAGAATGCGGGGTGACTCTTTCTCATCTTTGCATGACCGGGCAGCCCTTCAGCTCGGGCTGTGGAAGCTGTGACACATCGGCGGAGATACAGTGGCACACTTCACCAAAACTTCCCGGAGTGACGCGCACTGGCCGCCGCTCCTCCCCGTTAACAGCGAGAAGAGAAAGTTCCTTCTTCTGACTTTTAATTCTCCTGATGTAGCGACAGTTTGACGGAGAGAGTTTTTTCAAGCGATACAGGCAGTTTGGACATGAAAGCCCTAAACTTCTAGAAAAGTTTCTTGAAAGTTTTTCCCCCCAAAGCTGCGGCATCATGAAGCCACTGCTGCGCTCATCCAGCGACTTTCTTTGGATTCTGTTTTTCTTCTGCGCTCTCCCCAAGGTAAGAAGAAGGCTTTCATTCATTTACATTTTGCTCAGAATTTAACCAGGTGGTGTTGTTTTGTTCTTGACAACGGGGAGCTTTGTTTGCATGATGAAGGTCAGTTTTTTTTATACCACACAGGTGAGACTGCACCTGTTGCGCAGGTAGCTGCTGTGCTGTGAGGAGATTTAATTCTCTAGTCATCAGTTCGTGGAAAAAAAAGTTCAGGAATAATAAAACAATTTCTTCTTAAAAAGCACATGTCATGGCTTACTATAAGGAGAAGAATGGTCCTTTGAGAGTTTTAATTGGATTCAAATGTATGTCAGCAAGTAATTCATATCGACCTTCACATGGAGACTTTGAACAATGGAGTGGTTATTTATTAGAAGGACCAAAGAACATATATTAAGTCTTACAATGTTCGATACTTGTGGAAATATATGCATTTTTCAGCACTATTTTGTCAGGATTAAGTTGAGCACTCTGAGATGCTTTGAATTGGGAGTCTTTGTTTTGGTCAGTTATTTATTCAGGATTGCACATGTCAGTACATTTGAACAAAGCTTACATAACAGTACGTTTGAGGCATTAAGCAGACCCACCTGTCCTTGTCCCACTGGTCTTTCTGGAGAGAGCGAGAGGGAGCGAAAGGGTGAGAGAGGTTGAGAATGGCATGTGAGGATGTGTGCGGCCATCACAAAGGGGTCAGGAATGGAATGAGGTGCAGCTCATTGTCCATGTCACTCATGCATCTCACACTAACTCACCAGTTAATTGGTACTACTCTACATTGTGATGGAGTCCACTACAAACAGAAAGGTGTGCCATCTCAATTTGAAAACTGAATTTGGCTTCATGAATATTTGAATAATTACAAGATATGTTACATTTAGAAAAGTTCATATAAAAGGTCATTCTAATAATTTGTTGTTAGGCCTAGTGCTTTCATGTCATTTCATACCACAAATGAGTAAAACGTACAATATTAGCCTAAAAAATTACGTGGAGTTGAAGTATACCGTACCCTCAATTTGAAATACTCAAGTAAAGTACAAGTATGTCAAATGTTGTTACTTTCCACCTCTACTGTAACTTTTACTTTACCACTATCAATCCTATTGCAGCCAATATCCCCTAAATAAGATCAGTATTGACACCACCATCAATTTGGGGTGTAGAATGGTGCAACCTCTTTTAAAAATATTCAAGAAAGATTTTCTAGAGCATTACCAATTTTTACTTTCCTCACTAGAAAAAAGACCAAAGCACTTTTTGCTGAAGAAATACTTGGAGCCTGTGCAGTCTGCCTGTCCTCTCTCTAAAGAGGAAGTGGTACTGCAGGTTTACACCGCAAAACCTCTAAATGAGGAGGTTAGGGTGGATATATGTTAGGGCTGCACGGTATTGAAAAAAACTGACATCGCGGTTTCCCCCCCCCCCCTGCGGTATATATTGCGGTTTTTTTAACCTGTTAAACCCCAAAGTCCCGGCGGGTACTTTACTTTTTTTTTTCACGACAGTGTCTCAGTGGATCGTAATATTAAAGAACCTATTAATGTGTTAGGCCTATACCAGATTAACGGAAATAATCTCAGCTAACTGACGATACAAACCATTTTATACCAAAACAAAACACAAGTCTCATAAGAAGCATCTAAATGACCCCTGAGTGAAAAATGCTAACGCACTTTGGCACAGAACTCAAGATAAAAGTACCCTTATTATTACTTATCGTAGCTGCATTTACAAGATATCCGATTAAAGCTGAGGTTCCACAGATTATTTAGGTATATAGTATCATCACTGAGTGATCTGAACTCGGACAGGGGAAGCAAACACAGACATCACAACACATACCTTTACGTAGCTTCGAGGGGAGATGTCTCACCGTAGCTGTCAATCTGATCAAAAGACGTGTTCAATGGCATTAAAACGAGAAAGAAAAAACGCGGCTGAATCGGTTAATCCATAGGTTTCTAACGTCTCTGTATAAAAAATTATTTAATTTATAATCCATAATTCAATTTTTATGTAAATATCGCAGAGCAAAAGTTAGCTGCTAATGGTAGCCACCATAGTGGCTGCTGCTTCCGGTCTTGGCAATGCGGAAGTCTCTCACACACATATTACCAAATAAGGACTGTGTGATTTCCCCTCGATTCCATTGGCTCTGACGGTCAGAAAGAGATGTCACATGTCAAAATCCAGCAAGGTGGGCCAGAGATATGGAAAATCCACCCAAATGGCCCCAAAAGAGGGTTTTTTTGGTGCTAAATCTGTCTAAAAAGGTCAAATATCAGGGGAAGTTCTACACACACCAACACATGAACAAATAAGGAGTGAGAGTGACGACGCGTAGCCAAAACCGGAAGCTGCATACCACCAAGGTGGCTACCATTAGCAGCTAACTTTTGTGATCCGATTTTTACATAAAAATGGAATTATGGATTATAAACAATTGCTTCAAAACCACAGATACATTATCAACCTATGGATCAACCGATTCAGCCGTGTTTTTTCTTTCTCGTTTTAATGCCATTGAACACGTCTTTTGATCAGATTGACAGCTACGGTGAGACGATCTCCCGTTGTAATGTCTGTGTTTGCTTCCCCTGTTGCGAGATCGGATCGCTTAGATACTATACTTAAATAATCTGTGGAGTCTCAGCTTTAATCGGATATATTGTATGTGCAGTTTCGATAAGTAATAAGTGTATCTTTATTTTGAATTCTGTGCTAAAGTGCGTTAGCATTTTAAAAAAAATGAATAAAACCGCACGTCCCTGCGGTGTGAATACCGCGCATGCGCATACCGCGGTTATCGCCATGACACGGTATATCGTTCAGCCCTAATATATGTGCATAACATGCAAAATGTGTGACTTGCACACCAGCATAGACCATGCTTCGAGGTTACTATTTTTTATCAATGTTCATGGCTTCCCTTAACGATGTTCAACACATTTGCCACACCCTAACACAACTTCACTATGAGGGCTTCATATAAGAAAGCAATTGGCACTGACAATCCACCTATTTACCTTTCACTGCTGTTGATGTACTAGTTATAGCTTTGAATGTCTTTACATTATTCAATGAAGCTTATTCATTTCTATACAAACTGTGAGGTTGACTTTCAGAAACAAATTATATCTAAATACACACATACATTTTATAACTGATGCCCTTATAATTAAGAAATGAAATCAATGAAATCTAACTCTCAGTTACATATAATGTTATTATCCATTTGTCATTGCATTAAAACTGACACCGTTAATATTTAGTTCCCTTTCAGTAGGGATTTAAATGTGAGTATGATCCTATTCAAAGTATTGAAACAGTTCTTGTTTATCAAGCAAAAGAGAAGTTTAAGTTCCTGAAAAATCTAATAAGGATCCCTGTATCAAAACAAAAAATGTGTTATTGTTTCCTAAATGTAGTTATTTACTGTTTTACAGTGAAAGCCTAAATAATTGTTTATGTTTAAATGAGGAAGTAAAGATGCAATGGGATGTGGACTTAATCAACTTCTATGAAAAGCACACACGCTAAGCAGAAATGAACAAAGGCTACACGGGGAACACATGCAAATGTGAACTTTCCACTACCACAAGATGGCTTTAACTGTGTGCTTTAGCAATCAAGAACATTTCTACTGTGTCTTATAACTACCCATTTTTTAGGGATTGCTAATAAATATTAGAAAAAGAATCCGTAAAACATCACAAGTCAAAGTTGGGCTCAGAAGTAATTTATGTAAGATATACGGAAGACAGGACTTTCTTGTTTAGAAACAAATCCTGCTGCTATTCCAACATCTAGTCTTATGATGAAATTAAAGATTACATGCCTGATCATATGACAGCTTTTGGACACTTAGAATCAGCCCTCAAGGATAATATATAAGGATAATAAACAGAGAGGCATTATGAGATAGCATCTTTCAGTTGTTGAGGATGATGGCCACTAAGAATAACACAAAACCTAAGGTTCCGTGGGACAAAAACATATTGTTTTCTTTTATTTTTCTTTGTCAATTTTGCCCTTTCCTCCTACTTTTCACTGCCCTGCTATTTTCCATTCACTTCTTCATAGTTCTTTACATTTTTATTCTGGGTCCGAGGGTTCGTGAGCACTTACAGAAATTAGGAAGTGACTGTTGTGGTGGGGCGTTTTACCTTTGTGCCCATCTACGGTAATGGAAACTAGTCATTGAGGACGAGTTGCAGATCATGACTTAATTACTAAATATACGTAATAGCTAAGCCATTTAGAGACAACAGCATATTTTTGCTTTAAAAAACGGTATAATGCATTTTGGTCATCATGCAGGTCATTATATAATCTTGAAAATTGATCAGATGTGACATTTGGCTTGGAGACATAGTGGCTTAAAGAACAAAGGAAGTTATTGTAGAAAAAAGGGAAATACTTTGTTTCCCTGAAAGGGCATTTTTGCATGCTGACATTTTCCACACTGAACAAGCTACCATTAATAATCCCCTTATCCCTACGTCACAATCGTCACGTTATCTACCTGTTTAAAGTTAATATTTTTGGTCAGGTGTTCTGTTTTATTTACTTTGTATCTAGGTTTACATTTCAGTTCCCCTTAAAATAGAATTTTAGACTTTTACCTTATAAGTAAATGTTGGACTTTGACACTTGTCAACACCGTGATGACTGTCAGTTGTTTCTCATTATGCCAACTCTGTTCACCATGTCCAGATGTATACATGATGCTGAGACAAAAACAAAAAAATGGTTTCTATGTCCCAGCATCTATAATTTAACTTTAAAACACAAAAATGTGTCTTTGAGTCCAAATAAGTCAGCAAACATCACATGTATTACTTTCCTGAATTGTGAAATAGTCTGAATTGTTTTCTTCCACAGTGGTGTTGTACAGTAGAATTTCAATCACTTGTTCAATTCCCCATTGATCAAAGGAGTTTTCACTCAGTTGTAATTAGGAAAATATATTATGGAATAACACGAGGTCCTCAAGATCT